AACAGTCAAAGCTGTATTTCCTTTAAAAGTGCAGGTGGCCAGCAAGATGTACAAAAAGCCAATAGTTCAGTATTCACACAATACAGCTCTGACAATAGCCCTGGCTTTCATGGTTCCAAGCAGAAAGGAACAGAATCACACACATCACATGCTGCACCCTCTTCAGGAAATGTGCTCTCTTTCATAATAATGCTGCTTGGACAAGCACTTAACCATAACCCAAGTGCCAGTTCAGCCCTTTACTGTGTTGTAAAGACTTGAAATACACCAACTTGGCATTTCACGAGGAATATCAACAACTCAAGAATTAAATGTATCAAAATGTTTATTCATTGTAGGATTTGGCTTAACCTGCTTGTCTGAAGAAGAGTGAGGGGTGATCTAAAGGGTGGCTACAAAAGTGGGATTAAAAAAAAACAGCTGAATTTGGTTTCAGCTGAAGATGAAAAAGCTAGATATAGTACTTATATTTATTTACTTCTTTAGTACACATCAGTTAACGGCTTTGCTCTGTATTCCTCTCAGGTGCCAGACAGTCATTAACTGTTATTAGCTGGGTTGAGTGCCACCTAGTGATGTAACTTAAACATGCTAAACCAGAGATGGTTTTAATCTTCAGATCGTTGTTATGTCAGGTATGTCAGGAATGATTAAACATTATTGGAGCTGAGGTGAAAGTGAACTTGGCTACTGTCACCCCTACCATATTTTCATTGTTAACTCCATGCAATTAACAAATAATTAGTCCACCAGAGTCCCATTCTATTTAGTCACCATAAAACTGAACACTCAGTGACTTCAACAGACACCCTTGTGGTCTCATGTCCATGTCTTCTCATAAAGCCTCGGTTTCTGACCCCTAGATGACACACATCCTTCCATGTTTAATTGCTTACACTTATATAGGGCTTTTCTGGACACTCCACTCAAAGCGCTTTACAGGTACTGGGGACTCCCCTCCACCACCACCAGTGTGCAGCATCCACCTGGATACTACACCAGTGCACTCACCACACACCAGCTATCAGAGGGGAGGAGAACAGAGTAATGAAGCCAGTTCATAGTTGGGGATTATTAGGAGACCATGATTGGTAAAGGGAAATTGCGCCAGTACACCAGGGTAACACCCCTACTCTTTCCGAGAAACGCCCTGGGGTTTTCAATGATAACAGTGAGTCAGGACCTCAGTTTTATATCTAATAAGGACAGCGCCTTTTTACAGTATAGTGTCCCCCTCACTATACTGGGGCAATAGGATCCACACAGACGGCAGGGTGAGCGCCCCCTACTGACCCAACTAACATCTCTTCCAGCAGCTTCCTTTGTTTTTCCCAAGAGGTCTCCCACCCAGATACTGGCTAGGCTCACACCTGCTGAGCTTCAGTGGGGTGTCAGCTGTGAGTTGCAGGATGATATAGCTGCTGGCTTTGGTTTGTCCCACAAAGGTTGAACAGGGCTCAAATTTGGCAGTTAAGGCATCCATTATGTAACTGTCACATTCTCCTCTTCCAAGAAAACTGTTGTTATACAAACAGGATGCTGAAGCATGTTATCCTGCTGGAAAGTCATCCCATCATGATGCGCTCACAGGAAGGGCAGCAAATGAGGTCTCAGGACTTGATTGATGTAGATTTGCAGGGAGATTACTATCAATCACTAAAAGTGGACTGTTGTGACTGGACGATCTTGCCCCAGCCATCACATTTGGACCTCCTCTTTGATTGATCTGTAGTACAAGGTACAGCTCTGCTCTCTCAGGATGGCCTGCACAAAATTGCTTGTAGGCTCAGTGTGGTCAGTAAGGGATATGTCCCTCCGCCAGTCATTGGTGGATCAAGTACAGAGCTGTGTTGCCTGTGATGTGTTAAAAAGTTGAGTGGCTCAAAGGTGGTTGGGCCTGTGGTATCTTCCTACACTTTATTTATTCACCCTTGCTACATGAGAAACTGGAAAGAATTGGGTATCCTAAATTTCCCCAAAAAAGAGGGTCACATTTTTTGCAGTGAAAATCATTTGAAAATGAAAAAGAACTACACTCGCTAGATCTTTTAGAATTCCTCACTCCACGGTTCAGCAGCTCCACGATCATGACTAATTCTGCAAAACAAGCATGATTGTCTTCTCTCATTGATCTCATTACATCTCAACAGAAAGAATAGAAGCAGACAGAGCAGAACACATCGGTGAAATATGACTTCACAGTACAGTAGGCCCATCTCACTTGATTAGCAGGATTTTGCTGGTCTACAGAGATCTGCATAGAGCACTGACATACAGAAGACATGATGGATGGATTAATACCTTTATTCATTTTTTCCTTTTTTTAAAAATTGTATAATGTTAGCATGCCCAAAGGGGCTGGGCAGCCAGTTGACCTTGGACCCCTAGAGGTTTTTTTTCTCCTTTCTAAGAAGTTTTTGGTTCCTCTCCTCCACTGTCTTCTGGTTTTTGTGCTCTGTATTCACAACATGTATGGTCGCTTGCCTTGGGGCAACCGTGTTGTGAAAGGTGCTATCTGAAAATAAATTGAATTGAATGTGGGATTGCATCAGTGTCATTTGACAGCCTCAGCTACAGCAGATGTACTGCTTACAGCGTAAGTGAAGTACTGGTGATGGCACAGCATTGCTTTCTCTGATGTAGAGAGACACGGCCAATAGTTTTGTGAGAGTACACAGCCAACGTGTTCAGCAGTCTTGTACTGTGAGGCCAACGTGGAGAACTTTCAATTATGTGATGACGTATTTTTTAGAATGTGAGTACAGCCTCTCAAAACAACAGGTAAGGACACGGCAGAGATTTCCCAATCCAGCTCTGTTTTATTAAACTTTTAATGAAGCTCTGTAACTTGTACATGAATCATTATCTGCTGTAGGTAACTACAAAAAGCAGACTTGGAATTCCTCCGGAAGGTTCCCAGTGATTGGTCATAAAGTATCGGGCAACCTTGTTGTGAAAAGCACTATATAAAAATAAATTGAATGCTCAGTCTGGTGCTCCATTGTAGTTTTTGATGTTTTGTAGATAGTATTGGTAAAGTGAGATCCATTCGTTTTCTGTTTTCTCATTCTTAATCCACATCTAAAGATGTGAAAGAAAGAAATTACAGGAAACACACTACATTGTGCTCTAACTGAAGTACATAGTGGTTTGTACTTTTTTGCTCACATCAAATAACCTGTTTTCTGAAGTCCTATGAGTTATAACATCACTGGTGAAAGTCAGAAGACATGCCGAGTGTGTCAAGAGTACAAAAAGCCAGCACACAGTACAGCAGTCAGTAGCCACAGCTACAGAAGATGTGCCTGAACATCACTTGTGCAGCATGTTCACCAGTCTTGTGCTGAGACAACCCAGTTTGGAATAAAGCCATTGACCCCAGAGCTGTATGGCAACCCTAAACCCTCTGATGAATAGCATTATTTAAAAAATATATCGGCAATTTGGAGATCTCAGTAAGTAAGATCTTTGGCAAGGACCATTCATAAGAATATAACCAACAATACACACAAAAGGGGGACCAACACAATGGCTGCAGCAAAGAGCCAGTACAAAATGAGAAAACTGAAATGGAACAAAGCTTTTAAATGAACTGAACACTGCACAGTGGAAACCCAGCTCTCTGTTATCTAAGTCAAATATCCACAGTACATCCTGCAAAGGAATATTTGCATAAACAACGCAGCATATGACCAATTGCCTAACATCCTGGTAGATATTCTGGTAGACACATAGACCTGCAAATAACGTCAGCAACACTTATAACAATGTCCAATGCTAAACCGTACAGTACGCCATTCATAGTGTCTTCCAGGAAAGTCTTCAAAGATTTACAGAGTCCATCAAAAGTCTTCAGCCTCGAACTTTTTCACATTTTCTTTCTTACAATATGGAATCATAATGTATTTAAGTGGGATTTAAATGAAAAAAAAATTCTATCAATCCTCCTAAATTACCTATAAATATGAAACAGTAAATAACCGATTGCACATGCTTTTGGAGGAAGAATTTAGTTTTCACTTTGATATTATGCAGTGTTTTGTGTTGATCAATTGTAAAAAAAAACAAATTAAACACATTGTGATTCCATATTAAGAGAATAATACATGAAAAATCCCAGGGGGTGAATACTTTCGTAAGCCACTGTGTGTGTGTCTGATCACAAGGGTAATCGATTTAGATATCAGATCACTGTTATTAGAAATAACCAGCAGTGAATCACATATCACCATCCTAAATTGAAAGAAGGGGCTTTAGTGTCTATACAGTAGATATATATGTGAAACAACACAAAGTAATAAATTATAGACCAATGTATGGAAGCTTTGCTGAGTTGGTTTTGATGCAGAAAATCAAGCAGCATTTTAATATTTGCCCATCATTTATATAAAGATTTTGAACAGCATTACTGATAGAAACTCAATACAGTAAGTTTCTTCTAATAATATGCAAGACGGTCTGTAGCATACATCGTTTAAAGTTCAATTGCTGTTGCTAGAAATGAGATTTTAAACTGAACACAAATGCTACCCCCCTCCCCCAAAGCGGTTAATATTTCCCATCTTCATCACCAGCATTAGCAGTGCTTATTTCTTCCCTTACATTAAATCTTCATTAATGTCTTCTTAGACATATGAATTTGTAAAGTGAAAGTGAAAAGTAGCTTGTACAGATTCACAAATCCTCAAGCCAGCTATGGATAAATCAATCAGCTTTGGGAGAAATGCATAATCCAAGTACTTTCATATCAAGACTTACCCAGTTAGTAACCACAGATACACGCTCTCTGCCAATTTGGCCAGACAACTTTAGCAACATTTTGGACAGATTATTTCCGTCCCCATTTGTCATAAAACCCACGACTCATAGAGACTCTTGAGCTCATCTTATAACTTATCACAGGAGCCGAAGTCAGGTCTGCATCGGTTTAATTGCTTGTCTAACAATAAACCATCTAAAAACTACATTGTAAATGACAAATAAATCGCTACCATTTTGTATAGGTTTTAAAGAGCTTTTATTAATTATTTTAGATTTTTATATACAGAAAATGCAACACGGACACTTTGATTCTCTGCGGTAAAATGGATATCAAACTACGACAATGGCTTCAGTGTGACTTCAGAAGTTGACAGTCTTGGCTGGTTTGGTCTCTCCCAGTTCCGCCTCCAGCCAGCGGTACCTACGGTGACGGCGCAGGACTTCTATAGCCTTCTGTTCCACGGGCGTTGGCACGATGCCCAGGTCCTGTAAGCCTGGCAAGGCGGGGAACTTCATGTCCGTTGTGTGAAACTGCAAGACGGACCAGAGGACTTCAGTTAAAATGGCACAGATGGGGCAAAAATCAAAAGCTGGTCATACAGAAAGTCTTTCAGAGGTCAAAACTGGTGAACCCTGTTTCTATAGTGTGTTGTTAATCTTGGAGCTCATTAAGAGGAAATAAAGGGGTACATTTCAATTAAATTATCCCAATTCCTAGCTAGAGTAACCCCAAAATTCTGGAGCTCACGTTTATCCTCAGCGGAGCTTTCTCAGAAGGAGTGTGTGTTGGAATGACACATTCACACTGAAAATAAAAGTAGGTCTAAAAATCAGAAACTATGACTATTCAAATCAATTATAACCAGGGCAAACAGTAAATTGCAAAAGAGTAAATTTGAAAAAAAAATGCTGAAAATTTGTTGTGACTTGCCTTAGAACCACAAGCCTGCTATTATGTTAGCATGGTAAATGCACAACACTGATATTTAACTAATGGAGGGTGTCCCATTAAACTTTTTATAACGATGACCCCTTGAATACTTGAAGTCCATACTTGCGCTACATTCACAGAAGCGCAGACTTGGAGGAAGGGGTAAGGACTTACTGGGACATGGCCACATTATCTAAAGTAATGCTGGAGTAATTACTGGAGTAATGCTCCAGTTTTATATAGTGCTAAAGTAGAGTCTAAAGTAGCCTAATTAAATTTTGTTTTTACATCATAATATTGTGAGTTTTAAAACTGTAAAAAAGTACAATCTCACTAACACATGAATATTTTTTTCTCCACAGCAATCTCTTTGCTTTGATAGAAAATGAAACATCCACCATTCTGCAAGATAGTGGGGGTGATCCTGTTCAGCAAAGTCTGCTCCGATGTGGACTTCAGAGAAGGGCGCGTTGGGGTTGCTCGTGAGAACCCTTGTGAAACACAATTTTAGAAATGCGACACCCCAAGTCCTCGCAGACTTGCGCATTCGAAGGGTGCAAGACCACAAGTGTGCACATCGGGATACTGTCTAATAAATCTAGATACCGAGACATGCTGATAAATATTAAACACGTTTGTGTTTGTGATCTGACCTTGTGCACCATGATGGACCCAAAGCAAATCCAGGCTTTAGATTTTAGCTTTTATTTCAATATTTGTGTGCTTGGTTTACAGTAGGAGAATACGTATATATTTTTTAGAGTGAAAAATTGCTTTTCTGATGTTCTGTGTCCATTACTGAGGAATGCAACCGAAACTGTGCTATACGTACCCTGTCTGCTTTGTCCCGAGTCGTCCATGGCTCAAAGGGACTGAGCTCAAAAAATCCCGCAACCAAACTTGAAAAGAAAAAAAAAAGGTCTACATGTGAAATGGTGCTGAGGGCAAATAAAAACTTTTTTTTCCAAACAAATATACGGGTTTGCTGGATCGATTACGAACTTTTATTACAAATTCACCGGGATATATATGAGCACTCTTACTCGTATGTGTGCCTGAAATCCAACTTCTAAAAATAACCCTATGTCTATGCCAGACAGAAGTGTAATTTAATCAGTATATCTACTAGAAAACCCAATCATCCACCCATCTTCTAAGAGCTTTATCCCACTACAGTGTCTTGGAGGGAAGCTGGAGTCTATCCCAGCAAGCAACAGGAGCAAGGCAGGGTACACACACATACTCACACTAGGCCCAATTTTAGAAAACTAAAACATTTGAAATAAAAATGGAGTGTGTAACTAGTAACTACTCTTCCTTTTCCCCAAAAAATATTGCTGTTTATTACATTTAAATTGACAATAAAGAGAAAACGTCACATACTAAAATCAGTATAATTTCAGTACATGTGCTTTTCTGGTAATTATTTGTTTTACTGAAAAAGTAGAACAGGTATGAAACATATGAGACACCAAGCTATATATTTCATTTTTAAGCTCAAATGAACTAATATTACAAAGAACAAACTTATCAAATAAGAAATCGCAGAAACAACAGAAGATAGATGTATTTAGTAGTATTTGAAATGAAATGAAAATCCTACAGGTGCATTGGCCTTCTAATCACATCACAGTCCTATCCCAGGTTAGTGCATGGTGCTCTACCAACTGCATGATTCCCCACTGGCTAGAAATATGACCCATGTTTGATACTGACACACCTAGGCTGTGAAGCAGAGCATGCATAGCTGGAAAAGGTTATGGTGGTAGTCAGCATAACAGGCAAAATGAGTGGAGTGACTAATAGAAAACAAAATAAAAAAAATGAAATGTGATCTGCTGCAGACTTATAAGGTCAATGTCAACAATGTCCTCTGTGGCTGGTAAAGTGACTAGACACTAGTCTAGTGTCACTAGACAACTGTGACCAGGACCGTGATGGGGCATAATTTAGAAGATAAGACTTTATTGTCCTCTGTGGGAAATTTGTGGACACCCAGCACTCCTGTACATTTAAATAGAATGCAAACCAAAAAAAAAAGAAAAGAAAAAGATTGCACATGATTCTATTTAAAAAAATAAGAAAAACATTGCACATGTACAGTATAACACATCACAAAACATATTGCACTCAAGTGGGTTGTAAGAGTCAAAATTGTGTTTACCCTGAATTGGAGTAGGGTTAGAGTATTTACTTCCTGCTGTGCCACTATGTGTGGCCATAGCCAAGACATGATAAAACACCACTGGCCATTCAAAATTGGGTAGGTATAACAAAAAAAAAAAACTGGCCATTCTAAATGTATATTAAAAAAAACACAGCACTCCCTGCAACCAGATCTTACTCTCAGCTTCACTTGGGAAAGTAAGAATAAAATACAGGGTACTAAATGTCATCAGGATCTTGTTCAACCATACACATTCTTCCTTAAGATGAAACGATAACAAAAATGAAAATGGTAAGAAACCTATACAGTACTGAAATCTTAACTGCAGAACACTTCTAGTGTTTTATTATTGCAAGCTTCCACACCTTCTCCAGCTGATAACAGAAAGTAGAAAAACCAGGTCTGTAACAGCTCCCGCAAAACAAACATCCCTGTTTGTAAAATTTCCTCATAGCTCTTTCCAATTAATGCTGGTGGTTTTCCTCAATGCATTTCACAACTTGTTTGGTAGCAGTTTTTTTGGCCAGTTAAGCTTCAGCTCTTTTTAAGCGCCATCAATAAATTACCAGGGGTGCCACTCTTTTTTATTTTGGCCTTTTTCTCATCTCTAAAGAGATGCCAGTTTGTTTGCAGTGTCTCATATGAATTATACAGCCTATTGTGCAGTTCTTATAAATACTCTTTAGTCTTTATTACATATGACTATATTACTCAATTCTATTAACAAAGATTGTAGTTCACCTGACTTGGTGGCTAGGAAAAAATATATTTTTCAGACCAAAAAAATTGCTTGAGTGTACTAGCACACAGTGCTGTTACTCAAGAAGGAATGACAAGATGTAAATAAACTGTCATATAAAAAGACAAACCAATATGTGGGGAACTTGAAGTTATGCCTATAAATGGCATTCTGGCTTACATCATATACTGCACAACACATTATTGTACACTGTTGCTTTTGTCATAAATTAGAACTTACACAATGCAGCGAAATATGACTTTTTTTCCGGAACAGAAACATATTAAATAAACATCTGGTTAAATTGTAGGCAGCATAATTTCAACCTGTGGTTCAAAATTTAGATTAAGCCAGACACGATATAAATGCTCCAGTTCATTCTGATCATGTACTACATTGAATAATAACAATAATCAAGACCTGAGTTAAAAAGGCATAAGAATAGGATTCTTACAAATCCTAGATGAACACAGTGTTAAGTCTTCTAGCCAAGGAACTTTCTTTAGAAAAGGCAAGATTCCCACTTCATCACTAAAACTAACCCTGTTCTTATAAACTGTTTACAGATACAGCTGAACTGAATTTCTGCACAAACTGACAGCAGGTGGTCTGTGGCTAAGGATCTGCGCCTGTGGCTGAAAGCTTGCTGCAAATCCTGCAGCCGGCAGAGGAATCCTACTCCGTTGGGCTCCTGAGCAAGGCCCTTAACCCCAGCTTCTCCAGGGGTGCCGTATAAATGGCTGACCCTGTGCTCTGACCCCAAGCTTCTCTCCCTGTCTGTGTGCCTGTGTGTCTCATGGAGAGCAAGCAGGGGTATGCGAAAAAGACAAATTCCTAACGCAAGAATTTGTATATGGCCAATAAAGTGATCTTATCTTATCTCTTACTGTACACACAACTGTCCCTGCCAAGGCAGGACAATTTGTTAATTCGCTTCTTCTGACAAATTTCTTATTCGAACTATTCTCACTCTTAGGTCGTCCTGAGAAAACGAAACTAAAAACGTTGGTTATGACTCATTTGAGGAGGTATTTTAAGGTCAATGGAAAAAAAAATCAAAGCGTATTCTTCCAACTGGAACTGCCAGTGAATTTGAGAATGCAGGTCACGTGCACACCCGTCTGAAGTGAGAAGAAAGGGAATTTCATGATAGTTAAAGGGTTTTTACTCACTGATATAAAGGACGTGGCATTGGGTAGCATATAAAAGGCCTGTGAGCCACAGCATAAACGTATTCCACCAGGTCATGAAGAAGGTATCTGTTGGGGCTGTAAAATAATAGGTATTAACTCTTATATCCCGAACAGGGCCGCATGCTGGAAAAGTAATATTGTAACAGTATGACTATCGCAGTACTTTGCTTCCTACAGCATTATCAAGAATAAACCGTTCTTCCGTATAAACACGGTATCGCTAATTGTCAAGAAATTTGACAGGGTTGAAGTCATGTTTGGCTGCTATCGCAAGCCATTTTGAACTATTAATATTTACAATCTTGCATACAAGGGTCTAGCCCGAAAAATGAACTTCCCAGCAAAAGGAAAGTTGCTTTACCTCCCACAGGTTCCTGTGAAGTTACAAAAAAGTTGCCACGCCATATAACAAAACTTAACCGAAACTTTGTTACAAAGATTTTCAAATTGGTAAAAAGATCAAAGTTTTTATTCGTTTTTGTTGCATATTAATAACTTGCAGATTACTACTTCTTTTCAGGAGCTTTCAGAAATTTATAATAAGGAAATGAGCTGGATTTTAGATGAGCTTTCCAACTTGTAGGCTGGATATCTGTACGAAAGTCATACAATAGCTGTACAGTAACTGAAGGTTTTCCATACAGGCAATGCATTTCCACACAGCTTTCTTTTTCTCACGTTTTCTTCCAAATGTTTTCTTTTTAAATCAAGTGTATAAGATGCACACTAGAGCTGGATCCTACCCAACAAGAGCGTAGGTTTTTCCATTGGAGTCGGGGTCCTTAATCGCGCCGACAATGGCCTTGGCTACATCCACAACCTGAACAGGAGAAACATCTCAATGGCTGAAAACCTTCTATTTTATAGGCAGGTAACAAAAAAGACCAACTGGATAAAAAGACCTACATAAACGGGCTGCTTCACGGTCTTCTTCCCCCTAGCAATGAGTGGTATTGCCTTGCCAAACCAACGCATGTCTGTTAAGAGAAATCATACAGAAGGTGTAAGAAACATGTTCAATAAGGGTTTTCAATATTCGCCATTTACACTTGCAGATGATATGACGTCGAGCTATTTCCTTGATCAAAAAGAGCATTTTGGTTCTCGGGATCGTACGATTAACACACAGCTCCTTCCCCTGTTCAATCCCTGCCATAAAATTAGTCCTAAATATTTCCAAAGAAAAGAACTTGGGAGAGCAGGTGTACACTTCCATTATGTTTTAAGAAATGTCATCAGAGATTGTCTTATTTTTTTACCCAACTATTTTGATTCACAAGTAATACAAGATCTGCCTGCTTGTGTAATGTCGGCTTGTCTAGGTTTGTCATCAGTTTCGTATAATGAAGTAAATCTCAAGTTTAAAGGCATACAAAAAATTGATAGAAGTATTAAACAAATACATTTTTTTCCAATTGGGTGTACAAAGTTCATTTTTATTTCTACACTTATTAAATACTTAAGTTATTGTTATGCTATCTAAATACCAAGTACTTCAGTTTTATCTAATTTGATTGCTCCAAATGACAACCCCACAATACAAAACAAATGATTTAATGCAAGACCATGTAAAATCACAGGAACAACAGGTGATAAAAGCTACATTTGTTAACTCACAAGATACAACAATTAAAAACTCGGCAGAAACAAAAATTCTTGGCAGAAACAAAATACTAACTTGCAAAATGGTTGAAAAATCGGTCCTCTCTCCCAAACAGTTCAGATGGCTTCATAATTATTGCATCAGGGAACTCTTCTCTCACAACTGCTTCTCCAACAGCCTATTGAGCCAATATTATAAAATATAGTTAACTAAACACTAAAGAGTACATCACCTTGATGTGCCCTGAAGGTTTTTGTACCATTACATTAAAAGATTTTGTACAGAAGATTTGTAGTAAGCAAATATCAGTCCGTCTAGGGGAAACATACTGCTTTTGCAAACCTTAAAACAAAAAAAAATGAATCACAAAAAGATAACTTTTCAGTATTAACTAATATATAAAACAACATATAGTATACCGCAGATGCATCTCAAGGTCTTAGAAAAATCACAGTATTTTGTCACATAACCATGCTCCACCATCCTCCACCAATCTTTCAGTAGGAGTAAGTTATCAGATTTTGTAACGTTTGGGTACACACTGTGAACGGAAGCATTCAGACACATCACACACCTTTGTCCTCAGATATCTGGAGGGGCTGCGGATGTCAGCGTTGAGGTGAGACATGTGGATAAACTTTTCGATACCAGCTTCTCGGGCAGCCTTGGCGATCTGTTTCGGGATGTTCACATGGACGTCCTCAAAGCTAAAATGCCTTTACGGAGAATTAAACAAAGGGAGAGAATTAGGAAGATTTAAGATAAATCAAGGACTAGGCACAAGGTATATTTTTCAAGACAAAACAAATATGCTGTCAAAGCCCATTTTGAATTTTAAAAACCGGGAGGGCAGAATCTTAAACAGACAGGCAAGAACCAGGGAAGTATTTCCCAATCCACATTCTATGGAAGACTGTGTGCTATGCTTTGTTCCGTGAACAATTTTGAACATTATATCCTTATAACGCAATAAAAATATAAGAATGTATTAAAAAAATACTGACATTTTATAATACTATCTTATATAGTGCCTTTAAAAGTGGCTTCAAAAAGCTCATTACTGGAAACTGGAGACGGGAGAATTACACAATTACAATTAACTTTTGGAATGGTGCAGGAAATCAAAGGGACACAAGAGTCAGTTCAATAAAAGCCCTTCTAAAGAAGGTTTTGTGTCCTGATTTTTTATAATCATAATTGCTTACACTTATATAGCGCTTTTCTGGACACTCCACTCAAAGCTCTTTACAGGTAATGGGGACTCTCCTCCACCACCACCAATGTGCAGATGTGACGGCAGCCATAGTGCGCCAGAACGCTCACCACACATCAGCTATCAGTGGGGAGGAGAGCAGAGTGATGAAGCCAATTCATAGATGGGGATTATTAGGAGGCCATGATTGGTAAGGGCCAATGGGAAACTTGGCCAGGACGCCTGGGTTAGACCCCTACTCTTTTCGAGAAACGCCCTGGGATTTTTTAAGACCACAGAGAGTCAGGACCTCGGTTTTACGTCTCATCTGAAGGACGGCACCTGTTTACAGTACAGTGTCCCCATCACTATACTGGGGCATTAGGACCCACATGGACCGCAGGGTGAGCGCCCCCTGCTGGCCCCACTAACACCTCTTCCAGCAGCAACCAGGAGGTCTCCCATCCAGGTACTGACCAGGCTCACACCTGCTTAGCTTCAGTGGGTTACCAGTTGTGGGTTGCAGAGTGATACGGCTGCTGGCTGGATTTGAAAGAACTCAGGGAAGGTGACTGTCTGATATCTTTCGGCACAAAATTCCAGAGGTTTGGAGGTATAGCAGGATAAGGCCCTGTCACCCATAGAGTGAAGACAGCTTTAGGGACAGACAGGAGACCAGGATTAAGACCAACTAAGGTTGCGAGGTGAGGAATAGGATGATAACTCAGAAAGGCTCGATCGTTCTAGTAATAGATTGGAGGTAAGGGAATCTACACCTGTTAGGAGTCAACAAATAGAATCATTTTGCTGTTTTGCGCATTCCCAGTTCCTCCAAGGTCTTTTCGTTTGAGTGGAGGTGCAACATGCTTGATTCAGCACCATGAAAGGGAACAGGTGTCTTGGCTATTTAGGGTTTTGGTCAGTTGCCCAAAGCTCATGTAACTGCCTAACTATCTGAGATTGTAAAAAAACTGCTACTGACCAACCTTAAATGTATGTTTTTTGAAGGAAATTTTGCTCATCTTCAAGGAGAAAAGCCCATCGCTGTCCTTAGAAAAATGAGCGAGAGATGAGGTTAACCTGTCTTTTTGTAAGGGAAAAACTGAATTACCTCGTCTCCCATTCCCTTCCAACGAGATTGATGACCACATTGGAGTGCGCTAGAGCACGTCTGATGGACTCCTTGTCTCTGGCGTCCCACTCCTGTGGAGGAATTTTGCAGCATCAATGCATGCAGTCCGTATAAAGAAACCTGCCTTGATCACTTATAAAAGTAGTCTATTAACAAATGACACTTCACTATTTCTGGGCTAGCATACTAAGCACACATACTAATGCATCTTTAGCCATAATACTGACCTCATTATCTAGGCTTCTAGCAATTGCAGAGGGAACAAAAGCAACGGAGGACAATCTACTTCAAAGTATTAAATAGCAACCATGACTACAAATGTACTTACAAAGACTAGACAAAAATGACCAGTATTAGGCTACTTTAAACATGAATCAATGCCTTGATAAACCACAGGTCAACAATCTGTCTATAACCAGGATTTGATATGACTAACACTATCTAATAAGGCCGTAGGTAGTACAGGCCAACAAGTTTCAAAAGGAACACTAAGGATATAAAACACTTACAAATATTTGCCTTACTAATCCCACTATTTTGTATTGTTTGAGATGCTTTGCAATTGCAACAGATAACTTGGTGCTCATCTCAGACATCAAACAAAAACTAAAAGGCTAATGTTTAAAAGAAGATGGAACATAAAATCTTTACCCCGCCTTGTGAAATCAGCTTTTTCAGTTGGAAAGTGAGTCTTTGATGTTTAAATGATTTATGACCAGATGCATCTTTAGATGTGCTGGCAATTCACTTTCATTCATTCTCTTTTTGAGAACTTTGCCAATATATGAATTCACTACGAACAATACAATAATTATGAATTATTTCATAATAAACACAATGACTATTTTACACAAGCCTGTACTGTATCTTCTACAACCCTCCCTAATACTGTGAATAGTAATATGACTGGTCTAGAAGAGAATACCAGGAAAATGATTTGTCCAAGATCTCCCATGGGTCTCAGGTACATGATGTCATACTGGTCACAGCGATGAGGAATGACAATCTGGGATCCGACACGCCCTGAAAATTACAGCACAGGACGTCAAGCACAAGAAAATACCGAACCACTTTCTGGGAAGGGAAGTACTGCACTTAATGGTGGATTAACGATAGCAATAACGATAAGAGAATTTGTGATATTTGAATCCTTCTTTTTTAATTCTGGCTTTAAACATTTCCCCCCCCAATTTTAGCAATCATGTCAGTGCTTCTCAGTTACTGAGTAAGTATTTTAACATTTTACTTAATATTTGCTATTTATACATGCATGTTTGCACTTTATATTCATTTTTTCAAGATCGAGAGGCGAGTGCAACTTTTCAAGGTAGTTTTTTCCTTACGCAACTTTTCAAGGTAGTTTTTTTCCTTGAAACTCCACCTCCATAACACGACTAATAATAAAATCAAAAAAGGGATTTTATAATAAAAATCACACAATGCAATCACAAATGGGTTACTCTGTAACGTCACAAAAAATACTCACTTCGTCCAAATAAACAAACAAGCCTGACTCTCACCTACCAAGGATAATGAAGAATACTGAAGATTACCAATAATAATAAGCTATATACAATTTCTTGCATTAGGAATTTATCTTTTCGCACAGGAATACAGACGGGGAGAGAGAAGCTTGGGGTCAGAGTGCAGGGTCAGCCATTTATATGGCGCCCATGGAGCCACTGGGGTGAAGGGCCTTGTTCAGGGGCCCAATGGAGTAGGATTCCTCTGCCAGCCGTGGGATTTGAACCGGCAACATTTCACCCACAGCCACATGGTCAGAAGCAAGGCTAGATGATCACAATTGGAACGTTTATTTAAAATTGAGAAAGGCAAACGCGTTATTACGCAAAGAGTTGTGGGTGTCTGGAACAGGTTTTTCAGCTTGGCGGGTGAGGCCCAAATTGTGGGCTCTTTTAGGGAGTGGATGGACAGTTTTTGATTCACATAACTTCAAAACTAACCATCAAGAACGGACAAATGGCCACAGCCTTACATTCTTATGTAAAACTCTTCCCAGAAGGTCCTTTCACTTTAAGACCCCACAAACATGGAGGAGTCACAGATGGCATTCATTTTAGAGATAAAAAAAACAGACAGAAAGCTCAGGTGTGCTCACTAAGAAGTCATGGCACTCTGGAGGAGAGACATCTCTGACTGAGCAGTGATTAGGACACAGCAGTTAAAACAGCATAATTCATTCATTCATAATTCAGAAGAACTCACCTGAAATAAAGGAGCTGACCTGACAGCATTAGCAGCAGTCTATATTTTAAAATATTTGCATGAACAAAGGTAGAACTGTTTAAGATGTTAGCATAATAATGTTCAATTTCATGTTTGTGTGTGTAAAAACAGAAACCAGCTTGGTGGACCTATAGGCTCTAACCTCTCACAGAAAAGCACCTCAGAGCATCAGCTAATGTGATGCAATGCTCTGAGACACTTGAATTATTTAACACCAGTTCTGGCCAACGGAGGAACTTCCCTCACAGGAGAAACATTTGCTACATTAACTTACCGAGCCGATTGACCACATATCTGCCGAGAAAGCCTGTGGCTCCAAACACTGTTGCGGCTATTCCACTGAAGGAAGAGCGCCCCCCTTTGCCACGGGGGATAACTGCATGGTGGATTTTCCGCTGCTGCACCACAATAGAGACAGCTGATATCACACCTGGAGATCCAGCGCCTGCAGAAAAACGGGCTCAGTATAAGAAGAAATAAAACACACTGCATCTTTATATTCGACCACGGATAGACTGCATCCACCACTGCATGTCCTTTTGTCCAGCACTGCACTGCGAGTCACCTTTCGTTCAATGCAATAAAGGTGACAAAATGTCAGCGTATAAATATATACAAATAAATAATGTCCAAATAATATCGTTTCTCGATTACTAGAAGTTTTAAATGCGATCACTGCGTGCTACTTGTTTGGTAGCTGTGTAGGTCACACAGAAAACAAGAGGGTCATTTGGCAGGCTAAGCTACCGGCCTGTGCATCAGTTTTCGAAGCATTTTTACCGGATTATTAGGATGTTCCTTCAAAATCTGTTTCTATTATTCTGGGTATCTAAGGCCATTACCGTTCCAGAGGTGGGAATAGAAGAAGACTTACATGAAAACCTGGAAAGGACACCTGCAGGACGGCAGCGGAGGGCCACGGCCGCCATAGTTCTTCTCCGTCTCGGCAACAGACCTTCGCCAACTACGGCAGCCGCGGAGAGACAAACCGTCTAGCACCAAGAATGTGCCCTTTTACTGTGGACCAGCTGCGGAGCCTAGCGTTGGAAACCGACAGCAAATAGCTTCCTCACTTTGTAGTTTCCATTTTCAGAAGAAACTAGGCTACGCTTGAAACTTTGCCAACGATAAAAAAAAATCCCTCTTACAATACGAATATCTGATAGAGATGATGCTGGACAATTCTGCAATTTCATGATTGCTAAGTTACGTTATTTTAATTTAGTCCACATTTTGACATCAACAATGAACAACAATTCCAATAACTTCCTATTTGCAATCATTCGACCGGAGCAGATATCAACCTCCCAAACCTGGTACCATCATTCATCGTCATATTTTTTTTATATTTATGTTGTTATCTTCGTGATTTATAAACATAACCTTTATATTCCTGATAAGGAAGGTATTATCACAGCATAGTTAATATTCAGGCGGATACATATTTCGGCTACTCTTATTTCAAAGATTTGCTGCGTGCAATCTTGGAAAACGTACTGATATGCTGTAGTTGACACCCGAGGAAGACTCCACAGATGAAACGTTGTATTTTTTTATCTTCTCTTTTCAGCATGGGATAAACCTTAACTTGTTCCTCTGATATAGTATATACAGTATACTATTTGCTGTACATATATACAGAATGTACTGATGAAAATGCATGTACTGTATATAATGTCAGGAAAATATTTTACCAGATGGAATTGCTTCATAATAATATGGTTCTCTATGTATACATTTAGTAATCTTTGTATTACTGCTGGAATACAAATGGAATATTACATTTGTTAAATACTATTTTTATATTTCATTATTAATAAATCTAACATATTGAGTAGACAAGTCATATTTAGGGGAAAAAAATACACCCAAGCTGTCAGTTGAACAGTTATTTTATTATATATAAAAAGATTTTTAGTTTTCATTTTATACATTTTATCTTATATGTTTGTGCAAGACATGTTTTTGTTCTTTCTTAAGGATTCAGGTTTCAACTCCTTAAACAATAATACATCCCCTCTGATTATTTTTAGGAATTATTTTTCAAATTTACAGAAAACAATGTAATACATTGCTCATCATAGTAAAGGTTGTATGAATACATAACCAGTGGCAGCGATTAATATTACCATTCAAACTTTAGCTTAGCTTGAGAGCTTAAGAGCTTCCACTCATTAGTCATTTGATGTTGCTTTGCTGCTTTCTCCCTTAACCTGCCTCCTAATGACCCTTTCCGTCACTAGAGATCCACACTAATCACCTTCCTATGTCCACATTCCTATGAAACAATTAGTGACACAATTTTAAGGAAACATTTATCTTTTAAAACAAATTCATACTTTTCTGTTTTGAAATAATAAAAAACCATTATCGTTTCATTGTTTCTGCAGACAGTGGATTTCCTACAGTACTTCTCTCTGTTACTAATGTACAGTAATTCTTGTTCTTGTGATCAGTGCACTGCAAATAAATGTCTGGATTTCACCAGGTAAGGGCTACTTTTATGAAAAACCATTAAAGTGCTTTTCAGTGTTTTTCTGATTAAATTAACGTAAACCTGAAGTGGTGCAATATTTGATAGCTACCACTGATATATGTATGGTATATGAAAGTAGTTGAGTTGGAGAGCTGTGTGTGAGTGCTCACTAGGCATGGTCCTACAGTACATATTAAAGTTCATGACATTATACATATTAAAGTGCATGGTTTCTAATACTGCAAGGCACAATCTATTCATTAAAGCATTCATCTTTAAGACCAACCATAAATGACAAATATGTTGTTTTTCTCTAGAAGTCACTGGCATAAAAACAGCATTTTTATCTTTGATATCACACCTTTAAAAGTCAAACACGGCTGTCTACATTTTTCATTAACATCATATACATAAATGACACCGTGATGTCAAGCATGGTGTTCAAAACACAGGTGTTGTACTGTTGTACAAAAAGCAAAGCTCAACATTACATTTATATCATTAACTGTTGACAATTTTTTTTACAAACTATGCTGTATGCTAAGCATTAAACAATAACAATTCACATTACAATATAATCAACAAAAGATAAACAATGCACCAAAATACAGTAGCACATATACCATGCTTGTGTAATAAATAACAAAAATGCACAGGATACAGGATGAATCAGGATGAAGACTTGTCCATACCAAATCATTTGTAAGTGTTAACAAATTATTCTGGTGAAGAGAAACTATGTACCCAAATGATTTTACTACTTTTAACAGCATAATGAAAAGCCATAAATCGGAGATTGTGCTCAAAATCATCCAAATCAAGATGAAAAAGATGAGACTTTTCTTTTACTTTCACTCTTGTGTTTCTTTTTTTAAACAAAGAGAAACAACATTTGAATGAAGAGGTTGACCACTCTCCAGTTTTTGGATACCAAGTAATAATAACCACTGTAGCTGTTTCATTCTATATTTGTGTGTGAACGCGTGTTGTGTTGTAAAAAAAAACTGAGCCCCTGCTGTACGCTAAAATATAAAGGCTATAAAATAAAGTCTTTATTAAAGAAATTACCTACACTGTGTCACACACAATTTGTTAAGACCTGTTTAAGAAAACTGTCACTGAAATCCCGACTTAATATTCTTAACCAGGAAAATATCACTGTTTTGAGAAAAAAAAACACTCCTGACTGATGTCACAAAAGAAACAAATTCATCCAATGGCGTGTTCATTAAAATACAAGTGATGATAACTAAGGCTTAAAATCTAACTTTTTGTTTGGCTCAGCCTTCAGGAGTCCTATTTTGCAATCTCTTAAACATGAAAAACCCCATTGTCTTTGAAGTTCTTGGGTGATTTTGCTATGAAAAAACACCCTTGAAGTCAAACAAACACAATAGGTATTGCACATTGGGGATGCTTTGGCATCCAGGCTAAAATCCAGACCAAATTCTGGTCTCTTCAGGCAGAACATTGGAGGTTATTGACCATTTCCGATTCTAAAACTAATAAAATGAACCATGTTGACAACTACTGCAAATCCCTGAGCCAAACTGATGTGTAAGGACCAGAGAAACGAGAGCTCCTGGTGCCCTCGTACTGGCTGTTATGCAGTAGGGGGCAGAGTCTGTGCTGGCCCTCGTGGCTCTTCCTCTGCGCTCTGGCCTGCAGGCTGGGGTTTCATAATGAGCTGGACGGGGCGCTCCCCCGCTGACTTCATCCTCCCAGCGTCTCGGGGTTCACTCTCGGTGACCTCCTCCTCCGCGGAGGCCCCTAGGGGCCTGAGGCGCTCCGCCTCAGGCATCTTTTCTGCTTTTCCGGAGTTCTGCCTCCTGGCTTTGTCGGCGTCATCGGGAACCCCTTTTTCGGCTGCAACGACAGCACAGGACAACAAGAAGTGTTGCACTCGAGGCAGTACGCAAGAGAGCAGTGAAAGGGAAGCTACAAAGATCCAGATTATCCTGCTGTAGTCGTGGGTATTTTAACACCCACCCTCCACAGCAGACACTGTTCTCTGTGTATGAGATAATAATAATAATTGCTTACACTTATATAGCGCTTTTCTGGACACTCCACTCAAAGCGCTTTACAGGTAATGGGGACTCCCCTCCACCACCACCAATGTGCAGAATCCACCTGGATGATGCGACGGCAGACATAGTGCACCAGAACGCTCACCACACATCAGCTATCAGTGGGGAGGAGAGCAGAGTGATGAAGCCAATTCACAGATGGGGATTATTAGGAGGCCATGATTGGTAAAGGCCAATGGGAAATTTGGCCAGGAGATATGTGTACGTTTCAGACGAATATTAGTGTATCATTACCGAGCTCTGTTTCTACTTTTTACATTCCGGACCGCTATAGACACGGCTAATCTAAGACCGCTAGTACCACTAGTATTTTTTGCACAAGGCGCATGTCAACGTTTGCTCAAAAGTAGTGTGGTTTTGCCTTCTCAACCTTCTCTCTCTTCCCAGAACGCTGCACGTATCACAACGGTCGTGGCCAATGTAAAACCGGCTTAGTTTACAATATCCCTTCTATGGTACTCTCCGAAAAAACTCAAGATGAGCGTTGCAAGCATCTAGATAAACCTGATGAATATGTCACGTCATTTGCCAAACCGCTTGATACCATACAGTGTTGCGGGAAGCCGGTGCCTACCCGGTAAGCATCGAGCGCAAGGCAGGGTACACCCTGGACGGGCTGGCACTCCATCGTAGGGCAAGTGCAAGCCAATCATACATGGGAACAATTTTTAAGCCACGGTAAAGGCTGAGGGGGGGAAATTTGGCCTGGACACCTGGATAACTCCCTACTCTTATCAAGAAATGCCCGGGGATCTTTAATGACCACTGAGTCAGGACCTCGGTTTAACTTCTCATCTGAAAGGAGATCCCAGGAGGTCTCCAACCAGGTACTGACCAGGCTCCACCCTGCTGAGCTTCAGTGGGTAGCCAGTTGAGAGCTGCAGGGTGATATAGCTGCTGGCACCCTGATGAATATGATCAAATTTAAAAAATTTCTAGCGACGTTTTGATATTAAGATCACAAACACAAAACCCCATGATGGCATTTTCTTACACATGTTCATCTACGACACAAGATCAGTGTTAAAAATCACTTCAATAAATGTCATTATAGTGGAAGACAAAAGCAGTAAGACGTTGGTGAGGGGAAGCAGGAGGTGTCGTGGAAATGTGGGAGAAGGGGCCTGTACCTGTCCTGTTGCTTGGCATCTTGCGGTAGCTGTGCTCCTTATTGTTGTCTGTGATGGGGGCGGTCTCAGCGGTTCTTCTCACTGGACGCGTTTTGGGGCGCCCCTTGTGTGAACGCCCTTCCTGGATCCATTCGTGCTGCATGGCCTCGTCTGGCGTCATACGCTTTTGAGGGTCCCACCTGCAAAACACAGGACAAGAGGTCCGTTGGAACAGGAACTCCATCCCACTCCATCCCAGCTGCCACTGTCGTACGGCAAGGGCCAGCCCACCTAGAGAGGCTGTTGGCACGCATTTCAATCAAATCTGTTCCACCCCTCATCCTTACACAAGCACACTAGTAATGTAGCCAATTCATATAATTGCATATAACTCTCTGTGGTCATTAAAAATCCCAGGGCGTTTCTCAAAAAGAGTGGGGGTGTAACCCTGGCGTCCTGGCCAAATTTCCCATTGGCCCGTACCAATCATGGCCTCCTAATAATCCCCATCTATGAACTGGCTTCATTACTCTGCTCTCCTCCCCACTAATAGCTGATGTGTGGTGAGCGTTCTGGCGCACTATGGCTGCCGTCGCATCACCCAGGTGGATGCTGCACATTAGTGGTGGTGGAGGGGAGTCCCCATTACCTGGAAAGCGCTTTGAGTGCAGTCTCCAGAAAAGAGCTATATAAGTGTGAGGATAATTCATTATTTATTAATTGGTTAAGATGCAGATGTGGCAATTCTGCGAATCAAAATATGACCGAGGACTCCAGTGTTCTGCAATGATATTTTTTTGTTCAAGTCAGTCTTGAATATCTGATTGCTAGCGAGCAGAAACAAAATCAAGTCTAATTCCTTTTTTTTAAAAAATCAGCCCAGTCTTCAGTGAGTCAACATGGCTTTACGTACGTGAGGCATCGTCTCAGGAAGTCCAGGAAAAGGGGGTCGTTGGTTTTCAACACACTGGCAAGATCTTTGGAGTTAGGTCGTCTTTTTCGCCCTTTGCTATTTGTAATGTTTCTGGGGTTCCCCTTTGAGTCTGCCGGAGAAAAAAAAAAACCCAACATCATCTTTTGGATTGGTTTTCATTTTACTCACACAATGTTGACTTGTTGTGTAATGAAAGTTGTTCTGAATACAGAGGCTTACTGGAGCACCCACGTGTACAGCATGAGCACACAACATGCTAATTGAAAACTTAAAAGGTTTCAAAAGCATGTTCCCAAGGATATCCCAAGTAAGGGGGAATATCCCAAGGATCTGCACATCAATTCAATTAAGAAATGTTTGCTTTTGACTAATGAGAACAGAATTTAAACGTGCTTTCAGTAGTTAAATTATGATGCTCCTGTCTTTATTATATAACAGAAGAAAATGAAGATCAGAGAAAACATTCAGCGTCTTACCAAAAAATAATCGGCGTCTTGATGCTGTTTGAAGAAACTCATTAGGAGGCAGTCCAAGTACCTGAAAAACATCACATATTCTCATTTAAAATATGCCAGCCCGAAAGACAGCTTGTCCTCCCAACATATAGCTTGAAAACAACATTTCTTAAAAGCTTTAAGAGTCTCTGGCTTTTCAAACAAAAAAGGTTGGAAACAAGGAACTTTTTGGCAAAGGTTATTGAAAACATACCATGACTTCCATTACCAAGAATTTTATTAACTGTATGATATCAGTAAAACTCATGACAAGAGAACCACATTTTAACTTATTTGATTCTGGAAAGTTATAACATTTAAGTGGAAGGACTGAGGCACAGGTACAGCACAGCTATACATCAGTTAAAACATTTCAGCTTTATGTGTTTCTAACTATTGCATCAAAATTTCATCTTCAGTTGAAACGTGTGTTTCTACCATAAATATAAATACCCCAAGATAAGTAGGCAGGGACCAATTTTTTACATTTTAGCCCGTTATTTCAGCCTTTTGTATTTAGCACATTTAGCAGGTAAGTCTGTTACAAAAAGCGTTAAAAAATATGTCAGTATAGAAGATTAAGGTTGCCTTGTAAATCAATGCAATACAGATTAGAACATTTATTTTTAAAGACAAACGGGAAATTGTATTGAAAGAGGGTTTGAGTCAGGCTGGAGCTGCTGACAGTGTGTCTCTCTGAGCTCATGCCCCATCGCTCTTTCTGCTCCGATCGTCTGGCATGGACTCATGCAAGTACAGTATGTTGTTGAGAAAAGCTCAAGCTCTGACTGAAACAGCACCTAACTTTCTATTTTGGGATCTCTTTTCTATCCATCCCTTCTGAGGTGGACTGTCTGGAGGCCCAGATCCAGAATCCAGCTCCATCTACCGGTCGTAAAATCAACAACCGATCCTCTGTAAAGCCCATCCTCGCCTACCTCTAAAGCCGATATTGCAGTCCTGCTCACGTGAGGACCTGCCAGACTGGACTCTACAAGAACTGGCCGACCCTGGCCCACTCTCCCCTGCCCCCCATCCCCGAACTCAACTTCCCAGTGAAAATCACCACCGAAGGAAACTAACTGAACATTCTGGACACTGTTGGACATTGACTGAGCTAAAAACACTCGTCTGCCTTTCCCACCATGTCATACAAAACAGACGCCTTTCATAGCTGCACGTTTTAAAGCCGGTGCTGGCCAGAGGAGGATGGGCTCTCCCTTTTGAGCCTTGGTTCCACTCAAGGTTTCTTCCTACTTTAATCTGAGGGAGTTGTTCCTTGCCACTGTCGCCTTAGGCTTGCTCAATGGGGGTTCGGGCCCGGAAATCTGTAAAGCTGCTTTGTGACAATCTCCATTGTAAAAAGCGTTATAGAAATAAAACTGAGCTGAATTGAATGGAATATTTCCTTTCTCTCACATACGACTCCAGGGTTCGTTCCTGACGGTGCCACGCTATACCGCAGGGGCCCACTGGCAAGGCACCACTGCTGGATCTGATGTCCCTGAAGTACAGATCATACCTCCATGATGCAGGCAATCTGCTCCACCTCATTCTCCCCAGGGAACAGGGGGTACCCAGTGTACAGCTCTGCGAGGATGCAGCCCAGACTCCACATGTCAATGGCCATGCTGTAGGGGTGTCCCAGGATTACCTCTGGAGACCGGTAGAACCTACTCTGTATGTACGTGTACACTGCAACACCACAAAGAGTGAGAAGAAGAGCGTCAGAGCGACAGGCATGCCTCGGTCCTTCTGGAGGGCGAGACCTGACTCTTATGGTCCTTGGTTGGAGTGGTGTT